ACTAGAAAAGAAAAAGAAAAGCTCTAAGGCTTAGGCCAAATTTGAAGAAAAAATGAATGAGAATTGGAAGAAAGAACTAGAAAAGCACAGAGAAAAATTTAAGTGGAAATGAGAGCTCATCAAAAAAAAGTAGAAAAAGAAGAAAGAAAAGAAGAAATCTGATAGGTATCATCTTCATCGAGCTCTGATTCTTCCAGCAGTTCTTCAGATTCTGAGGATGAGGAAAAGAAGCCAGCAAAAAGGAGAAAGGAAAAGAAGAACCATTCATATAAATCTTCTGAAAGCTCCCTGTCAGAAACTGAGTCAGAGAGTAAGGATAGTTTAAAAAAGAAAAAGAAGTCAAAGGATGCAACCGAGAAAGAAAAGGACAGTAAAGATTTACCAAGAAAAGAAAGATGTATCCTGAAGATAAACCACCTTCATCTGAGGCCTTGTCAGAATCAGATCATACTGAAGAGGTATGAACAAAAAAGAAGAAAAGCAGTGAAGAACGAAAAAAGCAACAAAAAAAGAAAGAAAAGAAAAAGAAGCATAAGAAATACAGTAAGAAGAAAAAGAAAGCTGCTAGTTCAAGTCCTGAGTCACCATAACATAAACAAAAACCAGGACTCCCCTATGAATAAAGTACAATGTCTAAAGAAATTTCAGCTGTGAAGTTATGATATATTTACTAACATGCAAGGATTTTCTTGTTCTTGGAATTATTCCTGGACTATTCAATAAGCACTCCAATGCCGCTATGTAACAGGGCCATCATTATTGCTTGCTGCTTGAAGATCTACTTTTTCTCCTCCACTGCATGATAACCTCGGAGATAACACACTGCAGTCGCACTTGTGGTTAAAATATTTGGGAAGAAAGCTAATATTTTTGACTAGAAGTATGTAGTTATCAATAGAAATGAATCTGGATACATCTTAAGATGTAATCAGAAATGGCCAGATGACTCTAGCTAATTTTTTAAAAGTAGGGATTACATTAATATTTGAAATCCTTACTCTGTAGATAAGCATATCTTAATTTTCCCCCCTTGTATACTTTTTATTTACCTCGGGAAGTAGCTTTTAGGGTGGAGGGAGGGGTGGTTTGCTATCTCTTTAGCTAGCAGAATAGTGTGCCTTTGGTCCTCACACCTCCTACTTTTGTGGACACACATGCTTCCTGGGGAGGTCAGAGCTGGGTATGAGCCCTCTTGCCCTTTGTTGAGCTCAATGGCATCTGTGGACTTTGTCATCTGCTGCTTTGAGTGAACCAGAGAAATAGCCCTTTGCGGCATGAGAAAGCCCCAAAGCTCTGAGTTTATACCTCCACATCAACAAAAACAGAATGCTTTTTAGCTTTAGAATGTGTTATGTCATTTAAATTAATTTTTGACTGTGTTTCAGCTTTGGAAAGGAATTGTTTCATATAGGCACTGGCAGTTTTTGAACTTAATAGTTAAAGATTCTAAAATGCATGTTTTATACTGTTAAGTTTTAACCAGTCAATACAATTTTATGTAACCAATGATTACATAAAATTGTATTGACTGGTTAAAACTTAACAGTATAAAAAAAAGTGCTACTTCATTTTTTTGTATGAATGTTGTTCAGACTGCAATGTTTAGTTTTGTTAACTCTTATTTGTACTGTCTCAAGTTCATTACTATGTTGAAAGTCACCCTTGCCAAGATATTTAGCATGTAAAAGGCAGGCTTTGAGTTTTTGTTTTAAACAGCTTCATATTGAAGCTGAGACTTACAAACAAGTTGAGTGGCAGATCTGGTATGCTATATCGTGTTACATAAAGCTGTTGCCAGAATCTTAGTAAATACAATGTTTTAAAAGTTTGTTGTCTTTATATATTCATAACAAATTATGACAAGTTAAATTGAAGTGAGAATTGTATTACTGCTCTTGTGTCATATTTTACTAAGGTTTTATGCCTCACATCTCTTACTGAATTACTAGAAATGTTAAGAGGAATTGTTAAATCATTTTCATTTTATATTTTTATATAATCAGGTAATATGACATAGAATTTGATGTACAATTTTGCCTGTTACAGAGAGTGTGCTAATTATAGTGGTATATGTGCAGAACATTTTGGCATGACAAGAAGCTGAATAAATAGCTATTTTACTTAAAAGAAAAAAAAAGGGAGGCGGGTGGGCAGCATGGTGAATAGTGAGAGAGGGCCCTTCAGACTTGCACATATGTCCCCATTCTACCCTACCTGCGGAAAGTGATTGTCTTGTAACTCTTGGTGCTTTCTGGAGCATGGAAGCTTGGAGCAGCCGTATTCCTTAACTGTTGCCTCCTCCTGCTGCTGGAGTGACAGCACATCCACATCAGTCAGGAACGTGTGTGTGTGTGTGTGTGTGTGTGTGTGTGTGTGTGTGTATTTGGTTGTTACGGGGTCTCACTATGCAGCTCAGACTCACGGTGATCCTCCTGTTTTCAGCCTCCCCAGGGCTGGGATTACAGGCCTGTGCCACTATTCCTGGACTCTGGCTGGCTCAGCCCACCCTGGGGTGGGGGGGAGGCTGGCATGACATGTGATGCCGGGGATAAAATCTCGGTCCCTGTGCTTGCCTATGTTTGCCTAAGCAGGTACTTTAGTCCTCTGAGGTATCTTGCAGACCTAGGAACAAATATGTAGAAAGGGCTGGACAGGTGATCAAAATTCCCCCTAACAGGCCCCTTCCCAGCTGAGCATCCCTGGGCAGGATAGCGTTCCCAGGCCTGCTCTCACGCACGCCACTTTCCCGACTTCCTAGGCCTCATCCCTTACCATCACCATGCTCTGCTGCCCCTCCTGCCCTGCCTCACAGGCTCTTCCTCCCTTTCCCTTCTTCACCTATGCCTCCTTGGCTGCCAGGCCTCTCTCTGACATTTCTGCTTTCCTCTCCATTGTGTTTGTACTCACTTTCTGTTTCTCCAATCCTATACTTCCTTCACAGCCATCTCTGCTATTTAGAAAGTCTGTATCTGGAGGAACCCTCTGGGCTACTACTTTGGTCTACCCGTGTGGACCCAAGAGGTTGTTACGCAGAGTCCAAGGCAGATATGAAGCCGCCAAGCCTGCTTCTGACTCAGCCCAGGATCTCCCCTACGTGGAGGAACCCTTTTAGCACAGCACTGGCTGCCCTCACAGTGGCTCACAGCTAGACGTGTGCTCTTAACGAAAGGTGACGCATGTATATCACCTCCCCATGATGCAGGTAATCGTCATGCTAATAAACAGTCAGAAATCAACAAAGAAAAAACAGGTGATGTCTGTCCTATGGCCTTACCCCGTGCAACTCCTCCAACTACCGTCACCTCCAACCCACTGTCTTCAGCCAGATCTAAAAGTGGTTGGAACATAAAGGTGTGGGAAGGTGACCTGGCTGTTTCTGCTCCAGGGCTGCCTCCAGGCTTAGGATGAAATGGGAGCTGAATTTCCTTAAATCTGGTAATGAAGGAAGGACATTTTATTGACTTTTCTCTGCCACAATATTTCAGTGTTTCTCAGGCCCTGTAGTTAAGCACTTAAGATCTAACAGTGAGCCCCTTTTGTTGTAGTTTGATTTGACTGGTACAGTTTCTGAGAATTTTTGTTGCCATTCTAATTGTTGTTTCCTTTCAACACCCACGCTGTTAGTGCTGTGTTTGGGAAGTGAGAAATCGCAAACTGTGAATTATAGAACAAAACCCAAATCTGTTTGGCCACAGTAGTCTAAAAGAAACAAACTTTCACAGAATGTCATTCTCACCGACAGACAACTGAGTAAGTGGAAGCGTCTTGTGTGAAAGCATAGATGATACAGACAGGTGCGAGTGGCTCAGTCATCCTCCATCGTGAGACTGAATGTCCCAACCAGCCTCTGGCTGGAGCCAGGGTGGGCTTAGCAGGAAGCCTGACTGTGTCCCCACTCAGCAGTCCACAGTTAACCCTGCCTTCCCCAGGGGTGTAGACAGGGAGGCCTGAGGAAGTCGGGTTTCCCCTCAGTGCAGGGATAATGATGCCACACCCCTGGTGCCACCTCAGTGGGTACCGGGAACAAGATCTCCTCTCCTGGGAATCAGTGAAGAGCTGTTGAGAGCAGGAGCCTTCTCCTTTGGTGACCTCAGAGGCTCAGTGCAGGACCTGGTACCAGACAGTGCCTAAGGTGTCCACGTGAGCCAGCCAGTAGAAGGGCTGAGGGGCACCCAGACATCGAGGTCTCAGTGGAAAATTAGTCATCGTACCAGGAGTCAGGAAGATGTGTTGCGGAGTGCAAAGGGACAGTCAATGGATACCAAGTCAAGATGACAAGTTCTCTACAATCACCAGACCAACATTTGCAGCAGCCATTGTAGAAATTTTGTAATGACTAACTATAAATGGGTGGGAGTGTGAAGAAATAGTTTCTGCAGCTGGGTGTGGTGGTGCACACCTGTAACCCCAGCATGTAGGAGGCTGAGGCAGGAAGATCGTTGAGAATTTGAGACCAGCCTGAGCTACAGAATGAGCTCAAGGCCAGCCTGATCTGCATAGTGAGACCCTGTCTCAAAAAGACAAAAAAAAAAAAAAAAGTTTCTACAAAGAAAGAGAAGATACAACAAACCAAATGGAAAATTTAGAACTGAAAAATACAATAACCTAAATGAAAACTCCACAGGTGGACCCATTCCACATGGAGAAGCAAGATGAATCAAGTTGCTGAAGGTCAGAAGGGTAGATTACTCAATGAGAGTTCAGTGTCCTTCTAAATTTAAAACATAGTGAGCCTCCCTGCTGCTGATGCCAGAAGCTGTGCCTCTTGTGCATCACCAGTGGGGATACAGAGCCGTGCTATCACTCTGGAAAGCAATTTGGTAGTTTCTTTAAAAATGAAGCGTGTAGGCTAGGAATGCAGCTCATGGTTAGAGACCTTGCTTAGCGTGCGCAGGGCCCTGGGTTCTATCCTCCACAGCGCAAAACAGCACCACCTAAGTATGCAGTGACTGTTCCACAAAGGCAGAGAAAGTTGGGCTTTTGTCAGATATAAAAACTTGACCGTTGGTTCATGTGAGAGCCTGGTGCTGGGTGTTCATGGCCTGTGTGTGAAATATGCCTCCCTTCAGACCCTGCTGGGTCAGCACATTACCTATTTGACATGAAAAAAGAAAACAGAAAAACAATGTATAAAAATATTTTCTTTACCCATTGGGGAAAAACCTGTGTGGAAATGTTCATAGCAGATTTTGTTCATAATAGTAAATACTGGGAATAACCGCAGTGTTCCTCAGCTCATGAAAGGTTAAACAACTGTGGCTCACCTGCACGTGAGGGTGTCAGTCAGCAGCGACAGAACGGCATTGCTGACATAGCCCCAGCCATGTGATCTGTGTGGATGAAAAACCCAGTGCCCAGGATTTACCTGCCTTAGAGTCCCATGCAACCGTGAGGTTGTGGTTCAGAGTTTGTGACTTCTCAGAGTTTTCCTTAGAAATAATATTGTTTGTGGAAACTCTTGCAATTTCTTTTTTTTGGGGGAGGTTTGCAAGTAGCCAGTCTGATGGCCATCCAGTTCTTGCTGCTGGTTGGCTGCCACCCTAGAATCCTTTCCCAGCGGATGTACCAGCTTGTCCGCATCGTAACAGGTTGTTCTACTGCATGTGGTTATCTCGTGTTCTTGATTTTGTTCTTTTTAAAGCTCTTAGAGCCCTAACATGCCAACAAAATGCCCTGTGCCTTCTAAGGCTTTATTACTGCAGTATTTTATTAAACTAAATTATATAACCAGGGATACATAGCATATTCAAGGATTAAACTAAACAAATAGGCATTTATAGGCACTTTTTTTGACCATATCTGAACTTCACAATTTTTCACAATTCACAAGTCCTCCAGGAACATAATCTTGATGGTTACTAACACCCCTAAGCATCATCTGAGGACTTTCTTATTCCACTCATGTACAAGTTTAGTCATGTGTAATTGTGTTTATTTTGTTTCAAAGTCAGTAATAAAGCCATAGGTTAGGGATGACTTAACTATCCCAAGTAGCTGTATCAGAACAATAACAGAGAAACACATTTAAACTAGCATAGTGATGAAATAAAAGGGAAATTTCATACACTTAGAAAAATCTGAGTGTTTAAAATTATCTTCATCTTTTTGGCATCGAATGCTTCCATTAATAAAAATAAGATGATTAGAGTTTTCCATTTAGAAAACGGAATTGTTACTAGTAGTGCATCCTAGCAGCTTGTCTTCGTCTTTGTCTCACCAGGGACCATCATGACAGGGTGGTGAAGGCTTTCTCTGCTTCTGCCAGGCTGCATTTCTATGCAAGGAAGCCCACTTGCTGTGGTTCCTTTGTACCAGCTGCTTCTGGGGAAGAGGGTGACAAGGTACATTGCCTGAGTCGGGCTCCAAGATGACAGACTGTGATTTCATTAAGCTACAATCTAATGCAAACTGCTTGAGGGTTCCAGAGCTACTTGATTATTTTATTGTTCAGACAGATTTAAATAAAGTAGTTTTCCTCGGGCTGTTTGACTTTCTCCAGGAAGGGGCCCTGGGCAAATAGAACCCCAGCACCTCACAGAGGGAGTGGTGCGCTTGGAATTCCCACAAACCAGTCCTCCTTGGTTTCTTCACGATGAAAACACAGCCAGTAATACAGAGTGGTGTCAGAGGGGCTGGCACAGGGACACAATCAGCTGGTCTCCTCCTTTTTGCTGTGTAGCAAGGATACCATCTGCCTTCTGCTTGGATGGAAAGTTATAATCACCCTAATCTCATGTTGGTGTTTTGGGACTGCTGCAACCAAGTTGTATACACTGTCCCACTTAAAACAAGAGAGTTATCTTCTTATGTTCTGTAAACCAGAAGTCCAAAATCAAGGACTAAGCAGGGTCAGGCTATCTCAGGCATTCAGAGAGGCCCCTTCTCCACCTCTCTGGATTCTGCTGGTGACTGTGTCTCCTCCTCTGATTAGGACACTGGGTCAGCACCACCGTCACAGTGTCCCAATCCTGATACAGTTAAAAAGGCCCTGTTTTCAAATAAAGTCCTGTTCACAGGTGCCCAGAGCTGAGCCACACCTTTTTGGGAACACAGTGCAGCAGCCCAATGGAGAAGAAAGGAGGAGGCCTTGTGGCTACCTGGCCTGTTCTGTCTGTCACCTGTAGATGCATCTTCCCTGGCCCTGAAGTTAAAATTACCAATATCAGCTCAGTGTGCAGGCTGCAGGGGTGGGAGGGGTGGCTAGCCCCTCCCTGAGTAACCGAGCAGGCTGCCCGACCTTCCTGTGCCTCTGACTTCTTAGGCATTGTCTTGGTTATTCTTCTCTAGTTGCTGGGACAAAATATCTAACACCAGAATTAAGGAAGAAAAAAGGTTTATGTAGCTCACAGTTAGTGGAGGTTTCAGTCCATACTCAGCTGGCTCCAACACAGAGTGGCACATGGCAGAGGGCAGCAGCTCCTGGTGGTGGAAAACATCAAAGAAAAAGCCAAGGGTCGGGGGAGGTGGGAAGTGGCTCCAGCAGCAGAGGCAAGCCTCTCTCCACTCCTTACAACTGTGACGCAGATTACTCACCCAGGGCAGGAACAGCACTCACACCCATAATCCTAGGGTTGGATCATGAATTAAACACAAATTCTAGAAACTACCTCATGAGTGTATGAGCCTTTTGGGGGGGACACAAAACATAAAGGCGTTAAATGTGCATGTGATCACTATGCCTCAGAGAGCTGTTAGGTGCCTGTTATCATAACACAGGGTGCTCCCAAACATTCTGGGATGTTGAATAAAATAAGGTAGCCTTGAGAACCAGAGTTTCATCTACACAGGACCTGTGAGGATGCAGGGCAGACTGAAGCCTAGTTCTTCCCCAGCTCTGCCCACCCTTGCCTGCTGCATGTTCAGCCTTGCTCCCCACTGTCCTCCAGCTGTTCTCTCTCATGGCATCAAGGTGACTTCAGCCTCAGAATTTCAGCCTGTACCTTCAATTTCTATAACACCTCCCCAACCCGAACCTGCTTCTTCTGCACTCATGAATTCATTTAATCTAAATTTAAATGTTTTTACTGAGCACCTACTATGTGCTAGTGGAGTTCTGGGCAGTACAGATCCAGGACAAAAACCAAATATATATTCCTGCTATCATGGAGTGAGCTTGTAGCCACAGGGGTGCTTTCTGGTGGGAAGGTGGGTTCTCTGCCCGCTGATTCCATCCCCTCTGCTGAGCCAGCCAGGTAGGCCCGCTGCACAGGCACTGCACTGGTGCCACCCTCACAGTGGCAGGTGGACCTGTGGGTGCACCGGTGGCTCACATGCTGGATGGCCGCTTGGAACAGCTGGCTCCTTTGCTCCAGGTGCTCCTCCTTGCTTAATGTAGGAACAATGTCTTCTCAGAACAGGGCACACCAAAACAGTGGTGGAAATGAGATCCCATCACTCCCCATGGTGTCTATGGGGCAGGACTCATCACAGATGAGTCCTCCTCCCTCAGCAGGAGGAAGCAGGCCGGCTTGGGCTGAACCACACAAGCCTCCACCAGTGGCCCCTGCTGGCAGTGACTAGAAAGCCCACATGGGACCCCTGGACCTCCTGAGAAGAGGAGCCAGCTGAGACCGTCCTCTGTGACATCACCTCAGAGTCACATAGTGCAGTGTCCACTGCACCTGCAGGATCAGAGTGGTCCCCACCTGGGGACAGTGGTGGGGATTAGGGCCCCAGCCCCATGTAATTGGACATGTGTCCCTTTGAGGGGCTGCAGGAGGGGAGAATTCCTATGAATGCTGTGTTCTCAGGCTATAAATTCTCCTTGTCTCTGCTCCAGTTCCCTGCCCCTCTGCTACACATACCTGTGCATGTGTGGACATGTGTGGACACACAAACACCTAGACACTGTCCCCCATCTAACCTTTCTCATCTCTCTGATCGCATCCTCATCCTTCCCACTCAGAGGTGACTGGAATTTGTATAAAACTAGGATTATTTTATCCCTTGACTATTTGCTAGACATCTCTAGATCATTTATTTTATGTTTCTGGAGAAAAACAGACTTAACTACTGCTTCTATTTCTTCAGTGATAACAAATGTATTTGGAGTTTCTACTGCTTTTTTTTTTTCTTTTTCTTTTTTAAGTGGGATCTTACTGTTATTCGGGCTGGCCCCAGACTCTTGGGCTCAAGTAATCCTCTTGCATCAGTATCCTGAGACTACAAGCATGCCCATAGCACCACGCTAGGGCTTCTTTTATTGTTTCTCCGCCTGGAATTAAACTTATGATGTCACACTTGCAGGCAATGAGGCTAGGGTTTCTACCTACGTGAACTGCAGTACTGCATATTTTGTCCTAAAGTATTATGCCCATATTTTTCTTCACAGAGCATAAAGTTGTCCATCCACTGTGTTTTTTATGAAGTCTTTCTGCTGTATCTATAGCTGCATCTCTTTCCAGCCCTATTTCCTCTGTCCTGTCTTTTTCTCATCCATCCTGCCAGTTTTGTCTTTTTGTTGTTGCTGTTGTTTGTCTTTTCAAGAAATAATGTTCAGTTTTGCTTCTGGTTTTTTCTTTGGATTTTTATTATGAGATCATCTTCTGGAATCCTTTTTCTTCTAAATTGTTAAGACTGAAGTCTTCATAGCATCAACTCTTCCCCCTCTGAATTTTGTTTTTGTGAAGCGAGAAGATGACCCAGAATGAATTTCAGTAGACTTTGCCCAGTGTCCACCTGGGAGTCACAATGTCAGGCCCACAGTGGCGTGGGCACAGTCAGCTCCAATTCCAGCTCCTAAGTTCCCAAATCAACTTAGCCTGGTTTCATGCTCCAACTTCACCATAGCTTTTACAGAAACTGTTACCAGGCTTTAGAGTGTTGGAGTCTCCTTGAAGCGATTTCTAGGTTCCTGTCCATGAGTATGTCATCTTATGGCATCTTGAGACAGGATGGATCAGATGTTCTGTTAAGAGAGGATCCCACACTTGATCTTAGTGAGAGGGCCAGGAACCAGTCCAATGCACTTTAAAAGGTGTATGCGCATGTTCCTGTGAACATGCTAACATTTATTGGAGGCCATGGTAGTTAGCTTTTCATTTTTTTTTCAAAGTTTTATTGATAAACAGCAATGAGACAGTTTCAAATCAAATCGGAAGTA